GGGGGGGGGGGGGGGGGGGGGGGGGCGTGGAAAATTTCGAGGGAAGGTGCGAGAAGAAATTTCAAGGCGAGATTCGTGGCAGGTAGTCGGTAATCCGGCCTCGTTTCCGCAATTCCGTAAGTAGAGTTACGAAGTTATTAAACCGTTCTCCCCCTTTGGCCCGTAATCAAGCATGCGATCCGGCCGGGCTATCCCGGCAACTTTCCTTCGGGATGTTTCCGTCTGCTGAAGTGCATACGTGCGTTGATTAACCATTAGTCGAGTTAAATACACCCTGACTCGAAACAGGCCGCGATAACGTGCGGCCATCGCGCCGGATAATAGGAGAGCCTCGTTTCTATAGCTCGTGTCGAAGACTGCGTTCGCTCAGGGACGCTACCCCCACCACTCACTGTGCTGGAGGCAGAACGTTACCTGGGATTATGGAGTTTGGAAGGTTGAATAGGTGTTACTCGAGGATTTTAGGTTTTTGGACTATAGGTTTTTGGTTATGGGTAAGGTTAAAAGGGGTTGGATTATGGTGTGAGGGTGGAACCTTCTGTTAATTATTATGGTGCGTATGGGTGTATATTGTGTGGTGTTTGTATGTAGATTTAGCGTTTTGTGTATACTATATTCGTGTTTTACTGATATAGTAATTTAGGTATACTAGTATACTATGTCTATATATATATATATACAATGTGGAATACTGTATTTATATGCATATACTGTAGAATATTGTATCTATATGCATGTAATATCAGGTACTATGTAGAATGTTATATCTTTATATACATGAATTGTAGGACACTGTATTATTATGCATATAATATATAATACTATGTCAATATACATGCAATATAGAATAATATATGTATCATTGTAATACTATATGTGACACTTATATTATTATATTACAATTACTATATGGAATTCTAAGTTACAATTAGTGTAATCAAGGACTATTACAGATTACTATTAGGTACTAGGTAACGAATATTTTTACAGGAAATAGGGAAATTTATGGTATCTACATAGGAATTCATAATTCTGTCTATCGCACTGTACTTTTTTATTAATTAGTGTTATTTTACATCATAAATAAATTATAATCGAAAAGTAAGGTTAAAATGTTAATACGAATAGTCTTGATTGTTCTTTTATTTTTTAAAAACGTAAGGCTCCTTTTATATTCCATCGGGGTTCTCGGGACCAAAAACAAGGGCTCCATTGGCAATCGGTACTCGTTCCGGACGCCACCGCCAGATGGCGGTCACGAGTATCAGAGCCCGGTAAATTCAAAC